TAGGAATCAAATCAATTCTCAACCTAATTAGGTAGCATTCCATTTAATTGGGTAATCCCCAATTAAATTGAGTAACTCCCAATTAGGTTGAATAATTCCCAATTAGGTTAAATAATCCCCAAATGGAAGCAATTATTGGACCTAGGGTTCTGATTTAATTCAGTTCCCACAAATGTCCCTTAGCTTCTGCATGGCACCGTCCAGTTGTAACTGGGCTTCCTTCAGTGAGTTAGACTCCTTTTGCAGATTGGGTTCCCAATTGGAGTGAGCTTTTGACTGTTATTGGAGTTGGATTCCCAGTAGGAATGGGTTTGCGATTCCTTCTTGAACTAGGATGCCCAACCTATGTAAATGCAAGGCTTCTCTTCACTCTTCTTCACATCGCAAACTTAACTTCTCTACTTTCTAGCTTGGGAGAGATCTTGGAGAATTTCTACAGCTTGTCGAAGAAAGGAGTCGCCGTGCATCCCAAGTTAAGTCGAGCACGTATATTTCTTTTTCTTTGTCTTTTCTTCTTTTTTACGGCTAAGGCCAGCTGGGGGAAGTCCAGCTAGTTGTCGTCATGACATGCAATGGTTGGCAGTGGGCGGCAGCTGTGGTGAAGTAGGTAGGTGCAGATGGACCAGCTGTTGCCTATCATCGTAGGTTTAGGCTGGAGCATGTTGGGCCTCGCGCATTGCAGGCCACGTCAGCTAAGAGGGTATCTTGAGGAAGTTGGTGGTCTGACCTCTGCCCAAGATGTTGAGAGATGGAAGCATAATGGTCCAGCCTTGGATGATCTGCTGGCTGGGCAAAATGAGTGTTCAGCCAAACTCCCCTTAGAAAAAGGAAGGCTAATGTCAAGTCTTCAAGAAATGAAACTGTGACTTCGCTGTGAAAGATGCGTCCCCGTTGAGGAAGAAGCCAAGGATCCCTTATGCTGAAAAGACTCAAGTAAGAGTTGTTCCATCATCATCTGTCAGGGTCAAACATCTCGTTGGTGCATATAGTAGGAAGGTTGGTGGTATGCACGGTGTTCGGGGTGTTTTACCTGAGCCTCCTACTAACAAGCTTGAAAACCATAATCTACTTCCTGGAAGAGCTCGTGCCCAATCTCGTTCTATAGAGCATTAAAGAGATGCAAATATTCTTCTTCGAAGTTCGAGTCGTCTGTATCAGTTAAAGGATGAAGACCAAAGCGGGAAGAGTGCTCAAGATCCAGCTTGTTGAGTCACGAGCAGTCAAGTGTGGAGTTGATTCAACATCATTGAATCCTTTGGAGGTGAGGTTGGCAGAGGCTAAGAAGACGAGAAAATCATCTGCTCGGGCCAAGAAGAACAAGTCCAGCACTGCAGGGGATGCATGCTTGTCTGACCTGCTCAAGATGAACTTTCTATAAAACCTGTCCTCCTGTGCTGAGTTGGTCGATCATATCCATTAGGCCGGCGATCTTGGCACCCTCTCGAGTCTTTTCTTGGAAAAACAAAGGGAAGCAACATTTCATCTGCTTCAAAAATGAGTAGTTTTTGCTACTGAAACTATCCAAAACTCGTCTGCTGTTGCCCCCTCTTCTGTTGCTGACTTGGTTAGTCGAAAAGATGCCTACTTCTGTCTTGAGCGCAAGAATGCTGACATCTCCTTTAATTATGACAAGCTTCTGGCTAGATTTGGCGCTCATAACAAGTCTACTGAAAAGTCCAAGTAAAAAGTTACCATGAATGCGTACAAGTTGGGTTACTTGGGTTGCTCAAATGGAAATGATCCTTTCTTTGCCGTTGGAGATGGAGACATCGAGATGCCCTATTCTGACTTGCTTCCTATGTAGAGTGAGCAGATTAATGCTATGAATATGGAAGGAGTTGAAGAGCAGGCGGTCGAAGAGGCAATAACTCAAGAAGATAAAGTAGAAGAGGATGCAGTAGATAAGTTAGTGACAGACATCGCGGATCAGGCAGGTGGAGCTGCTAAGAACGTGGCTGATCAGGCAGACGTCGAAGAGGCTGTAGATCAGGGATCTCCTGCTGGCGTCTCTGAGTAAATGAACACTCTTTTATTTCTTTTCAGCTTTTGCAGTCTGCTTTCTTGTGTAGAATAATTGGTCTTATCTGACTATCTTCTCTTTGTTGAACTTGGCTGGTTGGTCAGCTTGCTATGAAAATTTCAGTTATTTTTCAACTTTAATTTATGTATTGACTTGTGAACGGCTTGCATAACCAACTAGTATCTTGATTGTGTGTCTCCCTTAGGAGATTTATGAGTGCCAAGGTCCCCCTTGAGGGACTCCGAGCATGCTCTGCATATCCCGTAGGATGGTTTCCCTTAGGAAGTTGGCGAGTGCCAAGGTCCCCCTTGAAGGACTCCGGGCATGTTTTGCACATCCCGTAGGATGGTTTCCCTTAGGAAATTGACGAGTGCCAGGGTCCCCCTTGAGGGACTCCTGGCGTGTTCTGTACATCCAGTAGGATGATTTGATCGTTGCCCTGCGTCTCCCGAAGGAAGCTACTTATGTGCAACTGCATGACTATCCTGCCCCCCTTAGGAAATGGATAGGAACCTAGATACCTCCTACAGGAAGTTCCTGGCGCACCCTGCGTCTCCCTTAAGACGCTCCTTACGGGCAACTGTGTGACTGTCCTGCCTCCCTTAAGAAACGGATAGGAACCTGGATACCTCCCTTAGAAAGCATGGAGACCTCTGTTTGGGAAATTCCTAGCGCACCCTGCTTCTCCCTTACGACGCTGCTTTGTTGGTTGCGTCTCCCGAAAGACGCTTCTGGTTGCGTCTCCCTTAGGACGCTCCTTACGGGCAACTGTGTGACTATCCTACCTCCCTGAGGAAACAGATAAGAACCTGGATACCTTCATTAGAAACAATGGAGAACTCCTTTTAGGAAATTCCTGGCGCACCCTGTGTCTCCCTTAAGACGCTGCTTTGTGGACTGCGTCTCTCGAAGGACACTTCTAGTCATCGCCATGCATCTCCCTTAGGACGCTTATTATGGGTGACTGTTTTGCGGTGATATGCTTGCCAATGAACTGTGAGCCATTGTCGGTAACCAGCGACTGTAGGCAGCCAAACCGACAGATGATGTTTCTCTAGATGAATCGCTCCACATCGGCTTCTTTAGTAGAGGATAGAGCTTCAGCCTCAATCCATTTAGTAAAGTAGTTTGTGGCAACGATCATCATGTCCTTCTTGGCAGGTGCCGTGGCGAGGGACCCACTAGGTCAATGGTCTATTGCATGAATGACCATGGACTGTTTTACGGATGGCAGACTTCGGTAGGCAGGTTAGGGATTGGCTTGTATCGTTGGCAGCGATCACATTTCTTGACATATTCGATGGAGTCGTGATGCATGGTAGGCCAGAAGTCACTTATGTTTAAAGCCTTCTGAGCAAGTGACTTGCCCTCCAGAGTGGTTGCCACACTCGTCACCGTGAATTTTACAGAGAACCTCAAGTGTTTGAGGGTACTTTATGCAGGTGAGATGAGGGCCAGAGTATGATGTGCGGATGACCTTGTTGTCGTGCATGTAGTATCTTGCGGCCTTCTGCTAGACCTTTCTAGCTTCAAAATTGTCTGTTGGCAGGTTTCCATTCATCAAGTAGTCGACGATGGGGTCTTGCCAATTAGGGTCCTAGTCAATCTGCATTGTGTCGATCGACTCTATTTCTTTAATGTTTGGTATGTCAAGGTATTCGATCGGGATAGAGCATCTGAATTGGGTATCCAGCACTAACCCTAGACTGACCAGTGCGTCTGCTTGTGCATTCTCTACCTAAGGTACTTATTGGATGGTGAAGGTAGGAAACACCTTCAATAGCTCTTGGACTTTGTCAAGGTACAAGATCATTCTTGGGTGCTTCGCCATGTATTCACATGAGGCTTGATTCGTGATCAATTGGGAATCTGAGTAGATGGCTAGCTTCTTAATTGCGAGTTTCTTTGCCATTCATAGGCCGGCGAGCAATGCCTCATATTCTGCCTCATTGTTTGAGGCCGGGAAGCCAAGCATGATATTTTGCTCCAACAGGCTCTCTTTTGGTTCAACGCTGCGTCTACACGCAACTGCCACATGTCCCTAGGTTGGCTAGGTTCAACAGAGGTCCCATCTGCTTTTGGACTTTCCTTTTTTTTGTTGACCAGCTTCGCTTTTCGGCTGATGGGGTGAATTCTGTGATTAAGGAGGTCATATTGGCTTAGCTCTATGGCCCACTTCATGAGTTGCTGAGAAGCATAAGGGATGTGGATGATTGATCTTAAAGGAAAGTCAATCATGATGATGACTCGATGAGCTTGGTAGTAGGGTCGCAGCTTTCTCGCGGAAACTACAAAACCAAAATGAGCTTCTCCAATTCGGATAGTGAGTCTCTGCATCGATGAGAGCTTTCGACGTGCAGAATACCAGATGTTGGGCCCCTATTTCTTCTTGGATGAGAGCTGAGCTGACGGCTAAGTTGGACATTGCCAAGTATACGAACAAGTCTTCACCAGGAACTGGCTTTAAGAGCTGGGGAGGTGAAGTGAGGTAAGTTTTCAGATTCTAGAAAGCTATTTCGTACTCCTCATCCCATTTGTCTCTTTGTCCTTTCTTCAAAGCTTTAAAGAATGGTATGCACTTATTGGTAGATCTCAAGAAGAATCGGTTGAGGGTCGCTGCTCTGCCCATCAACTTCATCTCGAGAATGGCTTTGATTTGATGTGGGTGTGCCTCGATACCTCGTTGTGTGACTAGGCATCTCAAGAATCGACCGGAGAATACACCAAATGTGCATTTACTTGGGTTAAACTTCATGCGATATTGGCGAAGCAGGCTGAATGCCTCGGTGAGATTTTTGATGTGATCTGCAGGTTTTGGGGCTTTGACTAGCATGTCGTCCACGTAGACCTCCATAGTTTTGCTGATCTGCTCCTTGAAGATTTATTCACGTGCCTTTGATAGGTTGCTCCAGCGTTCTTCAGCCCAAAGGGCATGACCTTGTAGCGGTAGGTCTTTCTCTCGATGATGAAAGAAGTTTTCACCTTGTCATCCTCGTGCATCAAGATTTGATTATAGCTAGAGTATGTGTCCATGAAGCTGAGCAACTGATTGCCAAAAGTGGAATCCATAAGTTGGTCGATTCTCGGCAATGGGAAGTTGTCTTTAGGGCATGCTTTATTGAGGTCTGTGTAATCGATGCAGACTCTCCATTTGCCATTTTCTTGTTTTGCCACCAGAACAACATTTGCAAGCCATTTTGAGTAGGAGACCTCTTCGATGAAGCCAGGAGCTAGGAGTTTGTTAATCACGGCTTAGCGACTCGCTCGGGAGTGAAGTTGCGTCTTTTCTGCACCACTGGCTTGCTGGCAAGGTTTGACATGGAATCGATGATAGATGATGTTCCGGTCGATGTCGGGCATGTCTGACGGCGACCATGCGAACATGTATTTGTTATTTTGGAGGAAGGTGGACTGCTCCACCTTCTCTTCTGGGCTTAGGTGCGAGCCGATCCGTGCTTTTCTGTCTGGCTGGTCAGGATCCAAGGGTATTAACTTGATGTCATCTTCGAGTTTCCATCCTACTTCAGGAGAGACATTTGGACAGATTTCCTTGACTTGGTCCTAATGCTTTGATTGCTATAAAGGAGCAAGATTCGGTTGTTCAACCTCCTTCAGATCTGCCTGGCTTACAGGGAGGAACTGTGCTTGTTTGCTTTTCTTCAGCCTTTGGGCAGACCATTTCCTTGCCATTGTCTGATCGCTATTGATTTGGCTGACACAGCCCCTAGGAATTGGGTACCGGATTTTCTGATGTGTGGTGGAGGTGATGGCGTTGATCTTGCCGATCAATGGTCTGCCCAGAATACCGTTGTAGGGTGAGACCTCATTAATTACCATGAATATTTGCGAGCTGATTATAGGTGGGGAGTATACGTCGAGGTCTGTTGTGCCAATGGTAACTGTTGTTGCACCATTCAAGCCAGTTAGCGATCTGGCTGATTTGTTGATCTTTGTCTCCAAGCCCATCTGCTGGATGACCGCTAGTTGCAGGATATTGGTTGTGCTGCCCTCGTCTGCGTGGATTCGGTCGACCATGGCTTGGGCAATTTGAATGCTAATGACAAGGGCATCGTTATGTGGCATGTCGAGGCCGATCATGTCTTTCTTTTGGAAGCCGATCACAGGATCGTCTTCTGCATGTGGAAGGTCGGTTAAGATTTGGGAGACCACTATGGCCTGTTTGATCTTGCTCTTCTTTTTCTTGCTAGTCAACCCAGACTCCTCCGAGTCGACTAGGATTGTGTTAATCCTTATGACCTTTTGGGGCAGCTCCTTGGTGGTGTCACGATATTTAATTTGCTGGATGGCCTGCTTTGCAATGAATTTCGTGCAATGACCTTCTCTCACGAGTTCTTCAAGTTGCGCTTTCCAAGCAAAGCAGTTGTTCATTGTGTGCTCGTGCGTCCCATGGAAGGCACAATATTTGCTATATCCCTCTTGTTCGGATCTCCTTTCAAATGTGGCGATTTTCTCACCCAAGGTTTGTCTTTCACATGGGGCAAGATTTGATGTATAGGGATGGCGAACTTGGTGTAGTTCTATCCTGCCATAGTGTCCCCTTTGTGGGTGCGACCTACGCTTGTCCTTGTTTCTATTGCTAAACCCGTCGCTTCTTTGGCCTGACCGCTTAGTCGGCTGATCTTCTTGCTTAGTAGACTTCTTTGCGGAGATTCGATCGTCATCCCAGAGCGCACAGCGTTCCGCAGTCTTGAAGACCTCAGTCAGAGTCTAGCAGGGAGTGATAATCAGCTCGCGGTACAAGTCGTGTTCAGTTGGAAGCCCTTTCTTGAAAGCAGATGACGTGATTCGGTCGTCACATCCTACAATGTTGGCCTTTTCTGCTTTGAATATGTTGATGAAAACTCGAAGGGATTCGTCAAACTTCTTGCGCTACAAGTGGTCAGGGTTATTCTTGATTGTCCAATAAGAGGTGTATTCTTTGGTAAAGATGTAAGCCAGCTTCTTGAAGCTGCTGATCGACTCGGATGATAAGGTGTGGAACCAGTCTTGGGCTGCTCCTCGCAAGGTCATTGCAAACACCTTGCACATCAGCGCGTCCTCAACCTTGTGGAGGATCATGACACTTTTGAAGTGTTTTAGGTGGCTCTTGGGATCGGAATCTCCATTGAAATGTGTAAACAAAGGCGTTGAGAATCGCTTTGGGGGAGCTGCCTCGAAGTCGGTCATTCACAAGTTTCTCCACATCTTCCGCACACATTACTGGTCGGTCACGTTGGCGACCTTCGCTATTTGGGTGATGCTAATTGACTTCCTCGTTGATCTGCGAGGTTCGACCTTCTTGGTTGCGCTGCTTAGGCAGCGTGTTGGTGGACTGTGCTTGTGAAGAATTTCTTGTAGCTTGTCGACGAGAATCGACTCTTCGAGAGTGAGCAGCGGAGCATCTTTCCTTATGGTCCTCATTGTGAGGGTTATCTAGTTGAGCTTCCTGGGGGTTTAGCCTTTCATGAATACTATTCTGCGAGTTGATAGCTGGGCGCCTTTCTTCACGATCCTCGTTGCGATGGTTGTTAGGCTAACCTCTCTAGGAGCCTAGCCTTTGATGCACATTTCCTTGGGGGCCCAGGCGTGGGCCCAGCCTTTGATGTCAAGTCGTGGGCCCAGCCTTTCGCGCACGTTGTTCCTTAAACTTAATCTGGATGGATGACTTTGTCTGCTCTGAGTGTGGATTGCGGATGCTTGCGACATGTTGGCAGGCCAATCACGTTGTTGTCCCTCTCCTTGTCTACTTACTCGTACTCGACCTGCTTGGTCCCATCAAGCTGCCTATCAGTGCGATCTTCCATCCTTCTCTCTTTGCCCGGTTGTCCAAGGCCAAGGTTTTAAGCCAAGCTTATTTGGTTCAGAAGCTGCCTTATTAGATTGCTCTGGTTTTCCATTCCCTGAGCTAGCTGGTCAACTATCATATTAAGGTCTGCTTGACTTCATGGATCGGGAGGAGAGAAGTGTGTAGAGCCCAATTGCACACGGACTAGGGTTTCATTGGAGGTGTACACGAGAGTGTACGTTGAGCGTGAAGGTAATGGAGGGAACGCTTGAAGTTGGTCCAAGATCGGGCCTAAGTTGGCGGTGGTAATGAGCCCACCTTGATGGGAAGTTCCACCATGCTTGGCGGCGGTGCCATGAAGGTGGCTAGATCAGGTCACGGGGCCTTGGGTTGACATGGCGATAGTGGTGGCTGGTGCAGTGGTCACAGCTGCAAGTCCGGTAGGTGGCACGGTGGTGAGGGGTGGTGGTGCCACCATGTTGATTGCGGGATTGTGGGTGGAGTGGCTTTGGGCCATCGCGGATCGAGACATTACGGCGATTCTGCCTCTCGTCTTCTTGCTTTCAACCATGGTTGTTTGGAAGGCTTCGGTGGATTGGAAAATAAGTTTGGAGCACGCTTTGAGTATATCTCGTGCTCTCAATGAAAGCACCAATTTGTGAGAGCAAATTCCCCCACGAGAATATTCAATTGGAAAGATTCCCCTTTCTTCTTCGCCGTCTCTTTCTCCATGCAAAATAGAACAAATAAGAGGACCACACCTGGGGGTATTGGCTAAAGGCCCTCCGATGCCTAAATAAGTTCAATTGAATCGTATAGAAAACAATAGCTAATAGCGTACGGAGATACGTTTATGGTGTAAACTGGGCGGCCGGAGCCTTATGTAATAGAGAGAGAGAAAGAGAGAGAGAGAGAGAGAGGAGGTGGCTAGGGTTTGTGAGGGATTATTTTTGCAGAGTTTTAGGAATTCAGATGTCCCTCAATCCTTATGTGTGGCTATTCTTTTATAGTGGTTTCGGAGGCTAGGGTTTCAGAGAAATAATTCCGTAGATGGAAAGGAATTATTCCTCCCCGATTTGGAATTGATTTGATTAATTAGGGATTTGATTTACCCTAGTAAATCAAATCCCTAATTGTGGTAGGTATCAAATGAATTCCTAATTTAATTCAGTAACTCTTCATTTAATTGGGAATTGTGGTAGGAATCAAATCAATTCTCAACCTAATTAGGTAACATTCCATTTAATTGGGTAATCCCCAATTAAATTGAGTAACTCCTAATTAGGTTGAATAATTCATAATTAGGTCAAATAATCTCCAAATGGAAGGAATTATTTGACTTAGGGTTCTGATTTAATTCGATTCCCACAGCTGCCATATGGGTATTCGTGATTAGAAGCAGGGAGGCATAAGGCCAGGTGCTGCCAATCTTAAGAATAGTGAAGTTCTGGAAAGCCTGGTGAAGAAGCAGGCCGCAGATGGGAAGCTCTATGCCACGATTTGTGCTTCACCTGAAGTGGCATTTGGGTCATGGGGTGTGTTGAAGGGACTGAAAGTAAGATCTCTAAGCACCTGCCAATATTTCATTATTTGTTTTGCATATTAAAATTATGATTAGTGTTTCTTCTGGTTCTTGAAATGACTAAATCTGATCTTGTGGGCTGTATTGGTTTTTGATAGGCAACTTGCTATCCATCATTTATGGATCAGTTAGCATCTAGCGCAACTACTGTTGAATCAAGAGTGCAGGTGGACGGTAAAGCTGTGACTAGTCATGGACCTGGTACTACCATGGACTTTGCTGTTGTGCTGGTTGAACAATTGTATGGGAAAGAAAAAGCTGATGAAGTATCTGGGCCACTGGTATATTCTTCTCAATATCTTGGATGGTTGTCATTCTACTGGTGGCTTTATTGTCAAGTGATTTCAAAGATGTTCATTGTCTGGGAAAATGAAAATAAATATGATCTCCTATGATCTAGCTTTCACCTGTTACCTTTAATTCAAGGCTTGTGATGCGCATGTAACTGCATTTTTGTACAGGTCATGCATTCCAACCATAGGGATGAATTTATCATAACTGAGCTAAACCCAGTTGAGTGGACTCCCAATGATTCCCCAGTGATTACCTAGATGAGGAATTAGGTGGGCAAGAGAAGAGTAGAACTACCCAAGAGAAAGGGAACTCAAAATTGGACTTTCGGAAACTGCATTGCAGTTTTCATTTAACTACAATTGGATTTTTGCTCGTCATTGGCCTTCACCCTCACCAATTTGAAGAGTACAGGCTATCTAGATGAGGAATTGGGTGGGCAAGAGAAGAGAAGAACTACCCAAGAGCAAGGGAACTCAAAATTGGACTTTTGGAAACTGCATTGCAGTTTTGGAAATTACATTGCAGTTTTCATTTAATTACAATTAGATTTTTGCTATTTCCTTGGCCTTCAGCCTCACCAATTTGAAGAGTAGAGGCTACCCAGATGAGGAATTGGGTGGGCAAGAGAAGAATAGAACTACCCAAGAACAAGGGAACGCAAAATTGGACTTTTGGAAACTGCATTGCAGTTTTCATTTAATTACAATTAAGGATTTTTGCTATTTCTTTGGCCTTCAACCTCACCAATTTGAAGAGTATAGTCTACCTAGATGAGGAATTGGGTGGGCGACAGAAGAGTAGAACTACCCAAGAGCAAGGGAACTCAAAATTTGACTTTTGGAAACTGCATTGCCAGAAACATAATATTTTATCAACACGTATTGAATAAAAAAAGTATTGTTTTGTTTTGTTCAACTCTAGAGCTTAGCACTTTTGCCCAAACTTAGCATTGCAGTTTCCATTTTTGTATTGCAGTTTCTGTTTATGCATTGCAGTTTCCGCTTTTACATTGCAATTTCTGTTTCTGCATCGCAGTTTCCATTTTAGTACTTTCATCTTGGTTCCTCCATTTTGCTTCAATAAAATTACTTATTATTTTTTTTGTAGCTGTTTTCATTTTTGTTTTTGTTTTTATTAACATAATTGATATCTATATTATATTTTTGTTGCAGTTTCTGTTTTTATTTGCAATTTTTGTGTGAATATGTGATAAAATGATATTTTTGTAAAATTAGATACTACATTTTGGTCTCTGGCCTTATACTAATTGGATGAAATTGTATTCGTATCTTCCAAACTAGTAAACTATTGTGTTTCAAAACTAAAACTCCATAAATTAATTTGTAAGTTTTATTACATTTGGGCTTCACTAACTCTTATTGTATGGTGTTTGCTTGTTCATGATCATAATGTTATGAATTGCTTACTCACAGTAAGTAAAAGTGTTTGACTCAGTTGATTGAAAAGAAGAGGAAGAAAATGAAGAGGAAATGAAATAGAAGCTCAGTGTAATTATCCAATGTTAGAAGCTCGAGATTCAGAACTTTTGGATTTAGTTGATCGTGACATATCAAGTATGCCGAAGAAGCTCATAACAACACTGAAGAAGGAATTACAAAAGATTCTATGTAAGTTGACGCCTAATTTCAAGCAAAGGCTTGGTTTCACAAAAGCCTCAATCCCATCCCCATTCCTGGTATACATCAAAGCTGCTAAATTTATATTTTACTTTGTTTTGAGTACTTGTCCAAATTCATTATGTTTGGTCATGGGAAATCTTTGATAGATCAGTCAAGATGTTTTTGGTCAACGATCAAATGGCACATATGTTATCATCAAAATGATTGAAGTCATTTTGTTGGACTTTTGATAAATTTTTGGGATTCCTTTGGTGATGAATATCCAACAAATCTCACACGAAAGGGAAAACTTATTTGATAAGAAATATAGAAAGGAAGCGAATGCTTATTTATTTATTTTTTTAGTACAATAGGTAAAGTCTTTCTTTAGTTTTATGTAATTCTATATATTTTCTATTGAAAGATAGAGACGCAAAACATTAACAGAATATGATTCACATATATATATATATATATATATTTAGAAGTGTTATGTGGGGTGGGGGAGGGGTGGAAAATATGCCTGCCTTGGTTGCGTGTATGTTTGTAGAACAGATGGTATGAGCTGCATTTACATATCATTAGACGGTTTGGATTAATATCTATAAAATAGATAGTTTGGATTAGTGAAATACAATGCAGAATGTGCTCTACAAGGGTGTCTATATATATATATATATAAAGTTTTCGTTGAAGGATCCTTCAACAGAAAGGGATTGTATATTATGTTATGGATATATATATATAAAGTTTTCGTTGAAGGATCCTTCAATAGAAAGGGATTGTATATGATTTTCCATAACATAATATATATATATATATATATTAAAAAATGGCTTCTACTTAAAGTTAAAAAACGGCTTCTACTTAAAGTTCAAATTTGCTTTGTTAGTTTATATCATTGCCTTAAATCGTGGCTTGGGGTGGGGTTTGAGGTCAATGTGCACATCACATATCATATACATTCACATGCAGACCTCCATGATTAGCAACTAATAGAGCCAAATTGATTATATAACCCAAGTTTATTGTTTTTTATTTTATTTTTCATAACATTCACATGGCATATATTACAACCCAAGTAAGTATTAATTATATTTAACTATGAATGTCTTTGATTAATTATTATCTTTTATGGATTAAGTAAATGAAAGTCTTTCATCACACATGTCACTCATTGTGCAGATCATGATTACCTTAGATTTTGTAATTTGATTATATAGATACTTTCACTATAAGCTTCTTTTCTTATGTGGTTTTATAGATCAACAATGGAAATCCTTTATATATTTTATTTCTCGTTTCATGTGTTATTTGCATTGCACTCTCCCAAAAGGTTGACTTGCCTCATGAGCTGTATGGGCAATAAAGTTTTTTTTAAATTATAAATGTTTTCATCTGCTGGGTATTTTAGAGTGAATGCTTATTTATTTATTTTTTTGAGTACAATAGGTAAAGTCTTTCTTCAGTTTTCTATAATTCTATATATTTTCTATTGAAAGATAGAGACGCAAAACATTGACAGAATATAATTCATATATATATATATATATATTTAGAAGTGTTATGATATGTGGGGTAGGGGTGGGGTGGAAAATGTGCCTGCCTTGTGTCACGGGATGACTTTTTCAGAGTCTTCCTTCCGTGCAGCCTTAGACTTGATCACTTCTCGAACAAGCTAAGTTAGCTAAACCCTAAACCCTAAACCCTACATATTATTATAACAGAGAGAAAAAAAAAAAAAAAAAAGGATTACACCAGCTGAGGATCATGACAAAAACCAAAGATTCAGTTAGATTTTTCTTGCAGCAAATCACTGAAATTTTCTAAGACCTTATCCAACTAGATTTTGCTCCCTCTGAGCCTATATTCTTGACTCACATGAATAAGCAGCCTCAAAATTATACTATTTACATATCCTGGTGATGAGGGATTTCCACAGCAACTCCAAACGTCAGAGAAAATGTGAAAGAAAATAAACTCCCAACTCCAAATATTTGGCAGCGCTCATGCTTCCTGTTTTGCATGGAAAGTCATCAAAACAATATCCATCTATATCTCCCCGCCTGAGCCTCCCAATATATAATTAGCATTCACTCAGATGTTCAGGCTAGCCAATGTATAATATGTTGATGCTCTTTTTCGGAGAGGGTCAAACATAATATAAACTGCATATACAGTAATATAAGGCAACACATAAAACTGTAAGCATTGACAATTGTAAGTCATTATCATAATTATTAAAGTCAAAGAAATGAAAATTAATAATTGCTGATGTTTCCATGGACTTAGTGCAGATGTGCAATCTTATATATATTAAGTCTTCCTGCTGCAAATCCAATAAATCTTATAGAGCAATCCTATAGGCTATAGCAGGAACAATAAATGGCCCAGGAGATGAAAATTGAAATTGTCAAGAAGGAAACCATAAAACCATCTTCCCCAACTCCCCACAACCTCAAAAGTTTCAAGCTCTCTCTTTTAGATCAGCTTTCTCTTGTAGCATATGGTCCTTTGGTTCTTTTCTACCCCAACAATGTCAGTGAGGTTACATTAACAGAGGAAAGGTCGCATCAGCTAAAGAAATCACTCTCAGAAGCCTTAACTCGCTTCTATCCACTTGCTGGAAGAATCAAAGATAACCTGTTTATTGAATGTAATGATGAGGGGGCTGTCTATGTTGAAGCTCGAGTCAACGCCCTTCTGTCGAACTTCCTCGATCAACCCAGCTTGGAAATACTAAAATTGCTCCTTCCCATTAAGGTTGATTCCCCTGAAGCAGCCACAGGGTGCCTGCTGCTTGTTCAAGCCAGTTTCTTCGAGTGTGGAGGATTGGCCATAGGTGTGTGCATGTCACACAAGCTTGCTGATGCATCAACTTTGAGCACATTCATCAAAGTTTGGGCCGCCACAGCTCTTGGCCTTGGTCACACTGTGGTACCAGATTTCAGCGCAGCAACCCGATACCCGCCTAGAGATTTCTCAGCGCAGAGTCCTGCAGCTGCCGTGGAGATGAAGATAGTCAAGTGTGTCGCAAAGAGATTCGTGTTTGATGGTCCAAAGATGAGAGCTCTTAAAGCTAAAGTCACTAGTGGAAGTGTGCAGAGACCTACAAGAGTTGAAGCTGTAACAGGCCTCATTTGGAATTGTGCAATGAAGGCGTCAAAACTAAGTTCAGGGATTTCCAAGTTATCAATGGTGTCACAATCTGTCAACATACGCAAAAGGGTTGTGCCACGATTGCCACAAACCTCAATTGGAAACCTTGTGGGGTACTACACTGCAATGGCAGAGGAGAGTGGAATAGAGTTGAACTCCATGGAATTGGTTTCTCGACTGAGGAAGGGGATGGTTGAATTTAATGAAATCCATTCCAAGAGATTGCAAGGGGACATTGTGTTTGAAGCAATATGTGAGTATTTTATGGAGATAGGAAACATTATGAGAAGAGATGACATAAACTTGTTTATCTGTACAAGTTTATGCAACTTTGGAATATATGAGATTGATTTTGGGTGGGGAAAGCCAATTTGGGTGAGCATACCTTTTGATATAATCAAGAATGTTGCTTGTTTGATTGACACAAAGGAGGGTGATGGAGTAGATGCATGGATAAGTTTAAGTGAGGAAGACATGGC